CAGTTACAAAATCTCTTATTTTTCTATGCTTAAAATAAGTTGTCTTACAATCTATAGCAACACATGTGAATGACTGAAGCACTTCTGCAGTAATGCCTTTGGCAAGTTTATTGGTAATTTTCTAAGAAAGCCTTTAGTGCAAAGTGCACATAATTATTTGGAACCTCCATTACCATATTTGGCCTTTTGTTTTCCCCTACAAATAACTGTGCCTAAATATAAGAATTTGAAGTGAAACTGAGCAAGTATTCCACAGGCTTGCATCGAGGGCATGTTCCCTGCTAAACAACCCTCACATACATCTTAAGTGGACTTCAGCTGCAGCCCACTGTCAAGCCTGTTGGTGGCTGTCCTTTAGTATCATGTGCAGTTTATGCTGCTTTGGAGATAACTAGCTTCAGTTCGAAACTGGTGCAGACACATGACAGGGCTCAGCGGAGCTAAAAGGCTAAAAGCTTGGCACAGCACTGTCCTTTTCCCCTTATATACCCTCACTTTAGCACTAGAAAGAGCAGCTTTGTTTTTGTACTGTTCAGCATTGGAGGGAAGCTTAGAGTTTTTTGGGGGTTTTAAGCAGGGCAGTAGATTTAGCAGTACATTTGGTTGCTATTCCTTGGCTTTGAGTCATAGAGGTTTTCTCTGTTTCTCCCTTGAGTTCAACTGGAAGGAGCTTGCTAGACATGGAACTGGAAGAGCACATGTCAAAGTTGTTCACATTTGCCTTCTTACTGGTTGCAAGAAATTTCTCTTCATAAGCGGTGGACTATAAATAAAAGAAAAGGCCTGGATTAATTTTCAGATACAAAGCAATATACACCAATGCAAAGGAGCAAGGAACTACAAAGTTGTCCAGGATTTGAAATTAGGAGCATATGGGATATAAACTAGTCACATTGTAAATTATTATTAAATGCCAAAGTAAGTTCCTTTAGTACCTTCCAGAAAATTGAATTATTTAGTGTTTGGTGTGCAACAAACTTTACCGAAAGTAAACGTTTGGTAACATTTGTACAGGGAAGTCCACTTAGACATAACTGTACTCATCTCATTTCATCTTTACAGATTTCTAGACAGGCGTTGATATTTGTGTGGATACCCTGACAAGCACATCATGATTACTCTTTCTAGCCTGGGTACAAATTTGCTGTATATGGCCCACTCTCACATTCTCACTATTCTTCTGCATTGATTTCAGGAACTGGCTTCTAATCCCAGTCACACTACTTGGGCAGTTCTGTAGATCTCTTTGAGTCTTGATTCTCATTGTGAAATGGGGGGAAATAATATTTGCACATTTACTATAAGGGGTTATTATGAGAATGAGCTGAGGAGGTAACCATGAAAGTGTTGCATGAGCTTTAAAGCACGAAACAAGCAGAAGGAATTTTAATAGGCAATTGTATTTTCTCAGATCACCTCACTCCACAGTGGAGGAGAAAATGGTCTTGAATCCTGCTGTCACGAGGGAAGCAGAGTCCATTTTGACCTTATGCCCATTTTTAAAGTGATCACTTTTAATTAAATGAAGCCGAGTACAGAATTTTTAAAAGAGCAGAGAATGTCTCAGAAGACCTACAAGGTCAAGGCCAATGGCCAAGACATGGGGGTATAGATACAGCAAGCTATCATTTACACAGAATGATATGGGAAAGGGCTCGCAAGTTTAGTACTCTGGTTAACAAAAGGGTACACTTGGGTTAATGATCAGGTTAACAATCTTCAAAGAATGTTAAAGATTACATGTGATGGGCCGGCCCGGTGGTGCACTGCTATAGTGCGCCGCTTGAGAAGCGCGGCGGCGCTCCCACCGAGGGTTCGGATCCCACATACAGACCGGTTCCCGCTCACTGGCTGAGCGAGGCGCGGGAGCAACACCGAGGGTTGCGATCCCGTTGCCGGTCCCGGTCCGGTACGGGGGCGACACTGAGGGTTGCGATCCGTTGCCGGACACAGAAAAAGACAAAAAGGAAAAAAAAAAAAAAAAAAAAAGATTACATGTGATATACTTTGGATATATTTGTCTCCCCAAAGCTCATGATTGGAAGTTTAATCCCCACTGTGACAGTGTTAAGAGGGTGGGAAATCCTATTATGGTATTGAAAGGACGGTCCTTTAAGAGGTGATTAGATCATGAGGACCATGCCCTAGTGAATGGATTAATCCATTGATGGTTTAATGGAGGTCATGGTTACGATGGCTTTATTAGGAGAGCAAGTGAGAAGTTTAGCTCTCTCTGCTCATGCCATATTCCCCATGTGATATGTTGCATCGTTGTAGAGCCACCACCACCAAGGCCCTCACCAGATGTGTTCCCTGGACTTTGGACTTCCCAGCCTCTGAAACTGTAAGCAATAAACATTGTTTCTTCACAAATTACCCAGTTTCAGGTATTCTGTTAAAGCAACAGAAATGGACTAATCCAACATGTAACAAATGAATCTGGTGTTTCTTTGATCATTCAGGCTCTTGTGATACAATGATCACATTTATACATAATATATTTATATATTAGTAGGTATTTAACATATATTTGCCCAATGAATAACTGACTTCCCATGGCTGCAGCAAAACTTCAGGTCACTTACACTTTTTGGTACCTATATCTCAAGAAAGAGACTATCTACCTGATGTTTGCTTATTGCAGACAGCCCTTAAGTGTGTGCTTCTTCAGAACATCACTCACATCTGACTTTATAACAGTGTGTACTAATTCTTGAGCATATAATGATTAATCATTTTTTACCTTGAAAAATAAATTTGTATAAATTAATTTATGTATAAATATAAATTAATTAATCTGTATAAATTTTGAAATGTAAAAACGTGTTTCTTTAGTTTTTTTTTCTCCCCAAGAAAATTTCTGGGTTACTTCTCTGTGTATTCTTTCCAGAAGTAGAAAATATTTAAAATCCTTTAACATTCATTACTATAGGTTGTATACTCTCATTGAAAATGCCTTATGTTCAGCAATTGGGTGAGGGTACAGCACCCCTGATATTCTAGTATCTGGCTGAGGACAAGTTGCTTTATTTAGTACAGTTCTAGTCCCTAAGACATGGAACCTATCTTGGAAATTTCAATTCATAAAATTTAATTAACTTTTTATACAAATCCTATTAAAAGGTGAATCTAAGTGTAACTCTCTCTCTCTTCTGACATTTCTACTAGGATTTTGAGTTATTATCTAAGAAGCTGAGGAAAAGTTTTCCAACATGTCCACTACAACTAATATTCTATAAAATAGGGATAGAGATTCAGTCATTTTCTTTTTAATGTGCTCATATTCTGACATTTCTACTAAGATTTTGAGTTATTATCTAAGAAGCTGAGGAAAAGTTTTCCAACATGTCCCTACAACTAATATTCTATAAAATAGGGATAGAGATTCAGTCATTTTCTTTTTAATGTGCTCATATTCATATCTGGCTTAATGTTTCTATTCTCCTTCACTATTCCATTTGTTAATGTACTTGAGTCATGAAAGTAGACTCGGAAGTTGCAGTCACCAGGTAGAAATACTCAAAACGGTATCCATGGTCAGGATTAGTGGTGTATTTTTTTTTTTCCTTTTTTTTCCCAAAACTCTACAGGCTCTGGTATTTTATTCTTGGATGCAATATCTTCAGATAATTCTCAGAATTTTCTGACAAAGTGGAAGGAAAAAGGGAACTAAACAAAAATGTTTAGTGGCTTCAGTGTAAAAACATGATATTTCTGTTTCATTCTGTAGCAAAATGAGAAAATGATATTCCTCAGCCACATTTATTTATTTATAATTTTAGTGATTTATTTTTTAAATAGGTAGTACATTCTCATAATTTAATATTCACAATGTTCAAAATCATTGTCCCTTGGATAACTCAGATCTGCCCCCATCAAAGACAACCAATATTGTCAATTTATAGTGTACACTTGCAGAGAGATTTTTTGCATCTTCAAGCAAATGTTACATGAAACCAAATGGAATTGGTTGTCATTCCATTATCATTTCCATTAGTTGCAGGTCAAAATAGTCTAATAATGGTAAATTCTCATGGTTCAACCTAATCCATCTATAGACATGCTTCCTTCCCCCTTTTTTAATACAAACAGTAGCCCACTGTAAACATTATTTTACACCTTGATTTTTTTTTAATTCACAATTATCTTGTACATCATTCCATGTCAATTCACGAAAAGAATCCTCATTTTGTCTGGCTATGTAGTGTTCTCTTATTTAGGTGTATTACAGTTTATTTAGCCAGTCCCTCCACAATGGACATTCAGGTTTCTTCCAATCTTTTACTAGTACAAATAATGTTACTGAGAATAGTCTTGTACCTGTATCATTTTGTACATGTGTAAATATATCTACAGAATATGTATTTTAAAAGTGAAATTCCTAAAAGTATATGGATTTATAATTCTGAGAGATATCACCTTACTATCTTCTTTTGCAGTTGTACCAACTAGTACTCTTACCAGCAGCAAATAAGAGTAACTGTTTTCTTACTTCTTTGTCAATTTGGTGTTTAATACATGTTAAAACTAATATAATCAAACATATTTTAATTGAGCTCCAAAATAGGCCTCAAACTTACTCCCTGGTAACATTAATGCAAATCTACTTATCTTTATGCAAATGTTTACTACAAATGCTTAGAAGCTTTTGTACATATGGGTTTACCTAGGAAAATACTGTGTGTTGTGTGTACCTTACCATTTCCCTTTGCTAATTTGCAGTTGTATTAAGTTTAGAATGCCATTGTTTAGAAGCAGAACCCCAACAGTTTTTCTAAAGAGTCTCAGACCACCCCCAATATCCCTCGTTGAAACTATTCTCTGAAGCTAACAGAATGATAGAGTTTGGATGTGTTGTCCCTGCCAAAATTCATGTGGAAATCAGATCCCCAGTGTGGTAGTGTTGGGAGCTGTTTGAGTCATGGGGGCGGGGATCCCTCATGAATGGATTAACACTCTCCCGGGAGTTGGGGGGCAGGGGTGACTAAGTGAGATCTCACTCTATTAGTTCCCACAAGAGCTGGTTATTAAAAAGACCCTGGCACCTCCTCTTTGCTCTCTCTCTCTCACTTCCTCTCACCATGTGATCTGCTTATACCCACTGCTGGCTGTCTTTTTCCACCATGAGTAGAAGCAGCCCGAGGCCCACACCAGATGCAGCTGTCCCAGAATCGTAAGCCAAATAAATGTCATTTTTCTTTATAAATCACCCAATTTTAGGTATTCTGTTATAGCAACACAAAATGGACTAATATACAGAACATGGACGCAGAATGGCTACCAGCATGCCCTTTAGGCAGAGCTGTAGTTTTCTTCACAAAGAGCCAAGCCTCTCATCTCCTTGGAACATAAATGGCCAAGGCAAATTCCAGCTTCCAGGCTTTTTCTAGGAATATGAACAAATCTTAATTTTCAGGGATTTCTTTTGTTAGGTTATAGATTATCTAAGTTTTGGGTTTCTCTTTTTCTTCTCTCATAGCTGGTGGGATTCCTCGGGGATCTATGCTGTCACTGATGTAATTTTACAGTTTCGTAAGTAATAGAACAGAGAAATGAAAAGTGAAATTGCCAAGGCTATAGATCTTCCAGGTCATGAAAGGCAAATAGAAGGTGATGAGTTCCCATAAGACTGTACAAATGGGGAGAAAGATGACAGAGGAATTTCAATATTGAGTTCTAAGGGGAAAGGTTCTAAATGATCATTACGATACAGTTGGCCATCCCTTTATCAATCCAAGGGAGAATTTAAAAATCACTAAAGAC